AATGCCTTGGGAGCTAAGTCAATGCTTGGTTTCTCGATTCCTTCCACAGGAATCACCCTTTTGACCATTGGATCGGAGGTGGACGCTAGGGCTGCCAGGGCATCGGCGGAACCGAATAGGTTTCGACTCCAACGACCCACATTCGATTTTTAAAGTCGTTCCTGTCCTTTTTTTTCTTTTTTCGACACGTTTCTGTCCATTTATTAAAAAGTAAATTTAGACTGAAACTAAAAACTTTACTTTTTTATTTATTAATTTTTATTTGATTTTTTTGAAATAATAATTAAATAGACAAAGTTTATATGATTCCTTCTGTTTCAATTTGCTAGGTGTTTTTTTTAAAGCATAAACACTGGTAGTTCCAACAAAAGGAACTTACGAAAAATTAATTATATGCAAGCTCATAGGTACAAAATGTAATTTGTTATAGAAAAAATGGAAATAGATACTGTACTATTTGTAATTAGTTTTATACTAGTTGTAAGACAAAACACAAACAATTGGGGTTTCATTAAACACCAATTGTAAGCTCATAGATACTGTACTATTTGTAATTGGTATTCTCCCCCCGGGGAATTCTGGTTAGCTCGAATGAGCTAAACTGATTTGCTATTTGGCAAACGACGTTTAAGTATGCTTCCATTCGTTCGTCTTTTGCTACGTAGTCACCGTTAAATTGGCTGGTTACGAGCTGTGAGTCTCTGAATGCGCTTATTTCTCGGACTCCTATCCCGAGAGCCAGCCTGAGACCGGCTATGAGGGCTTCGTATCTCATTGTTGGAGGTCTGGAATCCTAGTCGGAAAGACTGTTCGAGGACTTCGTTTTTTGGGGAAACAAGTTTGATTCCGACTCCAGAGCCGTGTTTTGATGACGCACCATCCACGTGGAGCGTCCACTTTTGACTGGATGATATTGCATCGTCGGAGTCTAGGGTGAGCTCAATAACAAAGTCCGCTAAGACTTGGGCCTTTGCACAGGTCCAGATTTTGTATTCTATATCATACTCGCTCAGTTTGATAGCCCACTTCGCGAGCCGTCCGGATTGGCTCGGACTGTGCAATATAGTGCGAAGGGGTTGGGAGGTCATTACTATTATGCAGTGTGATTGAAAGTATGGTCGCAACTTTCTGGCAGACATTACGATCGCTAGGGCAGGCTTTTCCATAGCAGGATACCTAGTTTCAGCGTTTACTAATGTTTTGCTTACATAGTAGATTGGTTTCTGTTCGTTTTGTTCTTCGCGAACAAGTACACCGCTTACTGCGGCGGGAGATACAGCTATGTAGAGATACAAAGGTTCTCCTTCGACTGGTTTGGCTAGTATGGGCGGTTCACTCAAGTATGCCTTGAGCTGTTTGAACGCCTTTTCACACTCATCGTTCCATTGGAATTTTTTGTTCCCTTTTAAGAGTTGATAAAAGGGTAAACACTTGTCAGTCGATCTCGAAATGAAACGGTTAAGGGCTGCTATTCTCCCTGTTAACCTTTGAACTTCTCTCGTAGTTTTGGGGGACGGCATTTCGAGAAAGGTTGCAATCTGTTTAGGGTTTGCTTATATTCCTCTTTTTGTTACTATGTAACCAAGGAATTCTCCGGATGGTACTCCGAACGAGCATTTAGTCGGATTAAGCTTCATTCCGTACTGATTTAATATTGCAAAGCATTCTTTAAGATGTGCAACATGGTCTTCTTCTTTTGAAGATTTGACGAGCATGTCGTCGATATAGACCTCCATGGTCTTGCCGAGCTGTTTGGCAAACATTTTATTGACCAGGCACTGGTAAGTAGCTCCCGCGTTCTTTAGACCGAATGGCATTACTTTGTAACAGTATGTACCGCAGTCTGTTATGAACGCAGTCTTTTCTTGGTCTTCAGGGTTTATAAGTATTTGATTGTACCCTGAGAAGGCATCCATGAACGATAGTAGTTCATGTCCCGCTGTAGCTTCTACCAGCCGATCTATGTGAGGGAGCGGGAAGCTGTCCTTGGGGCATGCTTTGTTTAGGTCGGTGAAGTCTACAGAGACTCTCCACTTCCCATTTTTCTTTTTAACAACAACCGGATCAGCTAGCCAGTCCGGGTACTTAACTTCCCTGATTGAACCGACTTTGAGTAGTCGGTCCACCTCGTCATTTACTGCTTTGGCTCGATCTGGACCGAGCTTGCGGCATTTTTGTTTGACGGGTTTGAAAGTCGGGTTGACGTTTAGTTTGTGGGAAGTTATCTGCAAATCAATCACGGGCATGTCCTCTGTGGACCATGCGAAGGTTGCAATATTCTCTTTGAGGAATTTTATGAGCTCGTCGCGGACAGAACTCGAGAGTTCTGATCCGATGTTGACTACTCGTTCGGAGTGTTTTTCGTCAATACAGATCGGGATGACGAGATCCTTGCGTGGACCGCGAGTCGTGGGGTCATTTCCCCGTTTTGCTCGCTGTTCGGCGAGCTCTTCTTGTTTCTATAAATGCTACAAAGGAGATTGTTCGATCTGCTTGTGTCCGGTCATATAACACATTCTGGAAGCCCGTTGGCTCCCGCGGATTGTCTTAACTCCTTCAGCGGTTGGGAACTTCACGCATTGATGGTACGTGGAAGGCACTGCTCTCATGCTATAGAGCCATGGTCTTCCTAGTATGGCATTGTAGGGGGCGGAGCGGTCTACAACTTCAAAATCTGTCAGTTGTTGGACTCCGCCGGCTACTACCGGGAGTGTGATGGTGCCCATCGAATAGGTGGTTTTGCCTGCGAAGCCAGTTAGCGGCGATCTGCTGCCGCAGAGTGTCGTCACCAAAGCCCATTTGTTTGTATGCGTTATAAAATAACACGTCGACCGAGCTCCCAGTGTCAATCATTATCCTGGATAGCTCGCACCCCCAACATCGAGACGAACTACTAGAGCGTCGTCGTGTGGTTTGTCTAAATCGAGTGTTTCGCTTTCCAGGAAAACTACTTTGTGGTTGGGACCCTGTAGGGGAGCGCGCTCCCGCATATCGGTCTCAACCCTTCTTTGGTAGGCTTTTATTGTGTTTACCGAATTTCGGCAATATTTAGAGCCTCCGGATATAAAATTTATACGTTTAGGTCTAGGTTGCTCGAAGAGCTCCAGAACTCCCTGGAATTTGGGAAATTCCAGTTTTGCGGGCTTACGAGCTTCTAGAAGCGGATTGCCGGTTCGTGGCTTTGCATCCTTTTTAGGGGCGGGCGGAGGTGAGATCACAGATTTCATAGATCCTCCGCACCGAGTTATTCCCCTAAATATGAGGTCTATTCTCTTTTTAGGGCCTGGAGGGGGAAAACTCGAATTTTCATCTGTGGGAGCTCGATCTCTTTTCTTGTTTAAAGTTTTGAGTTTTACGGCTCTTCGTTTTTTTCTGTGGGCTCCCCCTCTTCTTCTGCGGCCTTCGCGGCGAGTTTAGCCTTTTCGGCTAAGACTGTGCGGCATTCTTCTGTGGAATGTCCCTTTTTGTTATGATGGGTGCAGAATTTGCTTGCATCATATGTCGATTTTTTTCTCTTTTTTCGACTCTTTTTTAGACGAACTTCCTATTGCGAAAGCGTGTATCCCTTTGCCGCCGGGCTCCTTTTTGGTGGCCTTTTTGGCAGTGGCGGGATTAGGCACTAATAAGCCTGCCTCATACTGTTCTCGGAGGGTATTCTGTTCCTCCTCATATTGGCCGAAGCTCGCGGCTCTATGGAGCGCGTCGTCTATTGTTTCTGGTCAACGAACTGATAGTTTTTGTCTGAAGGGTGAGTCGAACCATAGCCCTTGTTTGAGCGCGGAGAGTGCTACTCCCTCGTTCAAGTCGGAAATTCTGGACTTAATTTCCTTGAACCTAGCCAAGTAAGCCCGCAGGAGTTCCTAGTGGTTCTGTCTGCATGTCCAGAGGTCGGCTTCCATGGCCTTGGAGGTTATAAATACCGAATAGTGTTTAAGAAAGGCCAAACCGAGCTGTTGGAAATTGTCTATGGATCCCTCTTCTAGTCCGGCGAACCATTCTAGGGCGGATCCGACTAAATTTTCGGCGAAGAGCCGGGAATAGCCTGCTTCTTTTTCTCATCGTTGAGATGAGCTCGGGCTACGGAGAGCCTAAAAGCTCTGAGGTGAGTTAAGAGCATGTCCATTAGACAAACCCACTTAGGAATCCTTAAGAGTATTTTAATAGTTTTTTCTGTTTTAAGAAAAATTATGAAACTCTGATCATTTTAATGGTCCATTAGTGAACCCGTAAAGGGTGTCTTAAGAATTAAATATTATTATTATTATTATTTTTTTAATTTTTGTTTAATTTTTTTTTAACTTAATTTTTAATTTAAATATACATTTCATATAAAACAATATTATTACAACATTAAAGAAATTTTAAAAATACAAAATACATATATATAGATCGTAAAACCTTTACTTATACTCTTCAGAAGTACCAAATTTGTTCCGCATATGCTGAATTAAATCCGCTTTCAATCGTTCATGTATTTGATTATCACGGACTTCATTTCGAATTCCGATCATATTGAGGATGTTTGTAGACATAGTTGTAGAGTATCCCATATCTACTTGTGAAGTTCTGGTTGATTCACTTCCTTGAAATTCTTCTATATCATGCAGATTGTAGTGATCTTGATCGTTTTCTACAATCATATTGTGCAATATGATAGATGCTCGCATAATCTTTCCAATATGATAGATGCTCGCATAATCTTTCCAATCATATTGTGCAATATGATAGATGCTCGCAATAAGCCAATTTATATTTGTGTCCATTCACCCAATATTGCACCTTTGGAGCTCGACCTTGTAAAATGTCATCAAAAACAGGTGAACGGTCAAGAACGTTAATATCATTCAAGGTACCTGGAGGTCCAAAAAACACATGCCATATCCAAAGATCTTGTGATGCTACTGCCTCCAAAACAATTGTCGGTTTTCCAGAACCACGTGTATATTGCCCATCCAAGCGGTATGACAATTCTTCCACTCCCAATGCATACAATCGATGCTTCATATCATCCCGGGAAACCCCCGCGCCTCTCCATTATCGAGGAGTCTTTGAAGATCATCTGCTGTGGGCCTTCTTAAGTATTCATCTCCGAACAATTGTATTATTCCTTCTGTGAAATTTTTCAAGCATAATAGTGCAGTACTTGTACCTAGTCGGAGGTATTCGTCAACCGCATCAGCCGCACAACCATATGCCATCATACGAATTGTTGTCGTACACTTTTGTAGTCCAGATAGACCAAAACTTCCGTGAGCATTTCTTCGTTGTTGAAAGTATGGAACTTCATTAGAGAGGCGACCAACAATACGCAAGAACAAGTCTTTGGTCATTCGAAAACGGCGTCGAAAAATATGAGGCGGGTATGTTGCACCTTCACAGAAATAATCATTCCATAAGCGGATATGACCTTGTTCGCGTTCTCTTTCAATATATGTGTGTTTCTTCTTTTGCTTAGATGCGGTATGACGGTCAAGAACAGCGTCGAACAGATCGTCACATTTTTGATCAATAATATCATCAATAATGTCATCAAAAGAATCATCAAAACCATTGTTGGAAGATGATGCCATAATTGGAAAAAAAAATTGATGGAAAATTAAAGTTGGTTAGACTTTAGGAATTGAAAAATTTTGATGGAGAATACAAAATTTTAGAAATAGTAGAATTTAGAAATAGCAGAAATTTGAAGAAGATGAAATTTGCAAATCGATATATGAGAAAGAGAAGAAGAGGTCTTTGTTGTAGTTAACTATATTGGTTGTAGACATATACATAGAAAAAGTTGTGATCGAAACTTGTGGTACACAATTACAAAACATAAAGTTGTGGCTTACAAATCTCATCCAAATATTCATCCAACAACATGTGGAGTATAAAGCTTTTAAAACTCAGCCTAGTAAATTTTACCTCTCGTGACCGACATCTTATCCCACACCATCAAATACAAGCCATCTTCCCATTGATCAAAACCAACGATCATTACTCCATCATATCCCTACACCAAAAAAGATCATAAATAATTATTCATAAAACATAAACATAAAACATAAAAGAAGATACTATAACATTAACATTAATAGCCGAAAACCATACATTGATAGAAAAAAACAAACACAAAAGAACTACATAGCCGAGCAACATAAACCTTAAAAGAAAACAAAAAAAAATTAAACACTAACTACATAGAACTACATAGCCGAGCAAAACAAATGTATCAGAAGATACACAAACTTAGTTAATACTTAAAACCAATACAATACTGCTTAAGCCAACAACTCATTAATAAGCTTGGTCTTCAAGGCCTCTTCTCTCTCAGATAGTGGCTCAGCTCTACACAGAAGACTATCAAGCAATTTTTTGTTAGTAATCTTGTCCTTCATGGCAAGGTCTCTCTCCTTCATTTCATACATGCTCTTTATGTCATTCAGCCCACTTACTGCTTCTTTAGCACCAGAGGTACCAACCGCTTTCTTTTTTGCAGCCTTGGAAGCTTTTACACCAGGTGGCCGAGCCATGCTAACATCATCTCCATGGTCTTGGGTTTGTGAGTTTGAAGAGTGAGCTGAAGTCTCACCAAGCTTCCTTCTTTTCCCCTTTCCACCATCTTTAACCGCAGATACAAAGCACCATTTTTGGTCATGTCTAAGTTCCTTCCAAGCATGTTCAAGATTGAACTTGAAGAGTCATTGTAAAAAATTTGCTGAGCTGTCTTCATCATGTCATTCTCATTTTGCCCACTGGTTTGAGCCTTCAATGCAGCTTCATAACAGCCTACAAACTTGGAGACATGGTCGTTGATCCTCTGCCACCTCTGCTTCAGCTGACCAGACTCTCTATCTTGCTCATTAACCAGCTGTTTAGAAGAGTTGAAGTAGGTGGTTATTCTTTTCCAAAAAGCATCTACTTTTTGTTCATTGCTGATGATTGGATCTTTAGAAGTGTTCAACCAGGCGCTTATCAACGCCACATCCTCCACAGGAGACCACTTCCTCCTCTCTTTCACATTTCGCTGATCAGGTACTTGGCTGCTAAACCTTGGAACTTCATGTGATCCAAGGTCTTGAGATTGTGAAAAACAGAATGTCTGTTCCTCTTGACTTGTCAAGAGGTTTACAAACCCCTGTGAACTGCTAAAAGAGTCCATGGTTTTGAGAAAGACTCTTCGGTGAAGGAATGAAAATGAGAGAAGGAAGGAAAGTGAGAAAAGGAATGAAAGTTTGTGGAAAGAAAGGTGAGAGTGATGAACGTGTTTAGTCGGTTTAAGAGATGAGAGTGAAAGAAATGAGAATAATTGTGAGTTTTAGAAAGTTTAAAAGAGTGAAAGAAATGAGAAGAGTTGACAGTTTTAGAAAGTTTTTACTCTTCACCTAAAAACTTTCTATATGTAATCGGTTTTAGAAGTTTAAAAGTTTTAGAAATGAGAAATGAGAAGTGATGAAAGTGTTAAGTGTGTTTTGTGTTCTCCTTTATATGTAATCGGTTGATGTGTTTAATGAGAATAGATGTGTTTTAAATTTTTGTGTGTTTTCAATGCAAAGAGTGCTTTTACTCTTCACCTAAAAGCTTTAACTCTTTTAAACCAGTTTCAATCAATAAGGCATTCATAACAAAACACTTAAGCCTTCACCTAACAAATATCTTTAAACCTTTTCACCAAAACAATGTTCAACCGATGCACTTCTAAGTCTAGCTATCTACCTTAAACACTAGTTACTTGAAAGAACCAAACTAACTTCGAAAGTGCAGTGCAAAGAGAGCTTGATTGCTTCCAACATCATCTCTTATTGTCTCCCAAGTTAACCTACAAACAAAACAAAGAACTGTTATCAACACAAACCCAAACATTGCATTGTTTCATACTAACACACCTAAAAATGGAATTGGTGAACATACAAGGACAAATGATGTTGATTACCTTTGTATATGTGATACCCTCGTCAAAAACATGGCATCTGACTCTGTTCGATGAACCATCTATGCTTGTTTATTCAGGTATCCTTGTCAAAAGCATATACCCAAAATAATTAGCATATGTGAACACAAACAAACCGATCCTATGCAAATCACAAACGAATTTCAAACAATATATGCATCAAATGTCTGTAAACTACCCTAATATAGACTATTAATCAATCAATTTAGCCTAATTTCACTTACAGAAAAAGTCCCCAAATCGATCATCAAACCCTAATTCTACAACTATGTCAAACTACATCAAAATCGATTAAAAAAACTTACCGAGCCACGCGTATGTGTTAATCCTTCATAGAAGCCTTGAACTTTGTCGTCGTTTAGGAGGATGACCAAATTTTTCGAGAATTCGCCGATGGAAGAAAAAATTGCCTTCGAGAGAGAAGGATTTCTCGACATAGAACTTTTTTCGGGGAGAGAGAAAAACATACCGACCCAGAAACGCGTCCAAGTTTTTTTTCCCCTCATCCAATGCCTAATTGCCACGTGTGTTAATAATTCAGTTATGGATCGATCCTAAAAATCCTTCTGCAAGGATCGATCTATAACTTTTGGCCTTTTTTCTTTTATTTTTAAACCCAAAAATACTTAACAAAACCATCCAAATCCAGTTAAAAACCCTCAATGGACCTGGTCTAAGGGATCTGCTGTTCCATTATATTCTGGGAATCGCATTTTCCCAGTGTCCTTGATCTTAGCGTTAGCTATGCGATCGATGAAGGGGGTCCTTCTAGTTTCGTCCAGCACGCGATCTATATCAGGAGCCGCACTCGTTGCTTTATGTACTGCGGCGTACATACGTTTTAGCTCGGTGTTGTTTGCTTCGATGTATCGCTGGAGCGCATCAAAGTTGTTTATAGATCGCGGATCTATGATCTTTGGAGGGTCCTCCACGCGCTTCTTATTGCGCGTGTTTCCTTGTTGCTGACTTCCGGTTTGGAAAGTGTCGTCAGCAATCCGTTCTTCGTTAGATCGCCTGTCGGTTGGTGGGTTAGCACGGTTCACACTACGGCCTTGTGATCCGCGGAAGAGCGGGGGTGTTAACAGCGGATCTTGGTGATCGTCAACTGCCGAGGTTTCACGCTCCGCTTGTTCGGATCCGAACACTGGCAGCTGGTTGACCACCTCGCTAAACAAAGGAGCGTTGTTGTTCTGCGGTGGAGTAACGAACTGCGTGGACGGATCGTCACGCGTGAGATGTTCGAACTCCAGGCGAGTTGTTGGGAGCGGACTTGGTGTCGGATTTAGATCTTTCTCTTCGGATAGATCATCCGGGTCTTCATCGTCAGTTGGAGCTGGCTGTGCCTGCTCTTTTCGGATGTTGGCTTTCTCCTTTTCATTTCGCGCGAGAATAGCTCGTTGTTCGCGGGCTTGCTCGGCTAGGAAGGCTAACATCCTTCGAAATTCCGCCAAGTCGTCACCGGTTACCGTTTGGGACGGTCCAGCCCGGGTGGGTTCGGTTTGGTCCGAACTGGTGGATCCGACCTGTGAAATTCCAGATCTTGTCCAGGGCCGCTAGTACGTGTGTAGCGGTGGTGGTCTGGGATCTGAGCGAGACACCGTGGTTACTCCGACAGTACATGTCACGCTTGTGGTTGCAGTTTGAGTCGAGCTGGGTGTCGGATTTACGACGCTCGACTCACCTGTTTGCTTCAGGCCGGAGGAGCTCTGCGCTCTGGTGATTTCGGCATTTCCAGATCGGAGAGCCGACGTGCTAGGATTTAGCGCGAAGGCAGAGCTTGTCTTTGGACCAGATGTCTCACTGTTTTTGGGATCCATTTCGTTCTTACTTGTCTTTGAGATCGGTCTCAAGTGTAAGAATTTCTTTGTTTCTTCCCCACAGACGGCGCCAAAATGTGGATCCTAAAATCCACACTCAAGAGTTTAGTGTTTGGTTAGTGGAAGAAGAATTAGGGCAAGAATTCTGGTAAGAGCGATGTAAAGTAAAAGACTAAGATCGACGAATTTGGATTGTATTGATGAGATTATAAGTTTACAAGAATGTTTCTAGCTAAAAATTGGATCCACATTTACATGGAAATGATGTACTATTTATACTAAGTATACCGATGCTAACTACTGCGAGATTTGCGGGGTGTTACGATCTCGAGTTCTCCGAGATCTTCGGGATCTTCACTTATCCACTCTTCCTCATTCTCGTAGCTCGTCACGTCCTATCGAATATCCTTCCAAGATCCTTTTTTCCTGCGTTTATGGGCCTTAAAGCCCAGAAAAGCTTGTGTGATGATTTGTCCGAAGTATGGGCCGGATCTTTGCTAAATCCAACACCAACATGCCATATTATAAGAAACCCCGTAGGCATTGTAGTTTTGATTTCAAAACTTCTACGACTATTTTGTTTCGGAACATAATAATGAATTTCTAAAGGGATCTTGTTAGTATATGTATAACGGACTATAACAATTTCACCACCAGGAGTGACATCCGAGATTCTGATCATATGACTTGGTAAATCTTGAAGGATGGAAACTGATGTAATCTTTGACCACTCTTGTTTCTTGAAATCGTCCATAACCCACATATCTTCATCCCCCTTGCGTATGCTCGAGCATATGCATCCTAACTTCCCTAGGTAGTTTACAAGAGTGGCATGACTCGAACCTTTAGTAAAGTGAGCCATCAGTTTTCTCGGAGCCTGGATATTATTAAATTTCTCGGACCTAACATCGAAACTTGCCAAAATAGCAATACCCTCAAGAGAGGCCTTGTAATAGATTCTCCCGTTGATGCAAACGGTAGCGTGTGGAAAGTGATCTCTAATAGTGCATTGTATACTCCTCCATTGCTTTTTCGGATCTTCCAATGTGAATATTTTCCAAGACAACGGGTTACTTAATGTTACACACACTACTTTGTATTGATTCTCCAAAGGCTCGTACCCGAATAAGTGCACATATCCTCCCAATAAAGGCATAATATTGGGTAAAGACACAGATTTCTCGTGGTAGGGTTGTGTATTGTGAATTGACCAAAATCTGATGACTGAAACCCAATCAAACCACGTACGTATTGAAACCTTGTCACTCCGTTGTTGTTGTATGTTCCAAAAGTTTCCTCGTGGTAGAGTTTATTTCCATTTGGGTAAGCATACGAGTAGACGGAGTAAGGTCCAGACGGCGACAAAAACTTGTGGAAGATGAAGTGGGGATCACGCCGCTGTTGAGTCAAAGACCGAGTCACGATCAAGTCTATGACTATGAAGCCTCTGATAATATGTTAAGCCTGTGACTCAACGTTTTCAGATAAGCCAATGACCTATCTTGCGCAGTCAAGAAGAGATGCGATTTAATGCTTAATGTTATATGATAAGACAATCCTAAACCATCGGATGCTTTAAATACAAGAGTTCACTGTTCATACGACATAGTTTTGAATGACCATACTAAGACAGGGAAATGAAAGACTCTATCTCACTTAGAGGCTTATACACACTTAGCCACTCTTTTGAAATGTCTTCTCCTTGAGTCTTCTTATCTCTCTGCCTGAGCGCTTCTTTTTCTTCACGTACCGCAAGAGGAACCGCAAACTTATCAATACCCCCCCCCCCGCCCCGAAGAAGACTCACCTTGTCCTCAAGGTAAAAATCTGGATAGTCCGCAGCAATCTTGTTGACTGATTCCCACGAAGCTTCAAACGCAGGCAGTCCTTTCCAACTGATCAACACCTCCGGGTCAGCTGATACAGTGGATTTGCGAATGTCCAAAACTTCAGCCGGTGATGTCTTCCACTCCAGCTCAGGTGTGAGTATGGCTGGTATTGGTTGCACTGTTGTAGGGTCTGGAGCCGCCTTCTTCAAGAGTGAGACATGGAAATCTGGGTGGATCAAACTCTGAGGGAGCTTGAGTTTGTACGCCACAGTACCGATATGCTGAAGGATCTCGAAAGGGCCAAAGTAGCACGGAGCTAGTTTCTCATTCCGACATTGAGCAACGGATGCTTGTCGGTATGGACGTAGCTTTAAGTAAACCATATCTCCCATGTTGAACTCCAGTGCCCTGCGATGTTTGTTAGCAGCTATCTCCATGCGTTTCTGAGCTTTCTGTAAGTTGCTCTTCAGTGCTTCCAGAATACTGTCACGATCCTGGAGCATATCTGCAACCGCAGCGATGACTGTAGGAACATCCCCATAGCGTAAAAGGCGAGGAGGATCAC